GCCAGGAACAGGTGAATGTTTATTACAGCTGAAAAGAGAAGAAAAGAAACACAAAGTTTCAGCTGTGGAGTCTTCTTCGGGTGGTTGACTTCACAGCCAAAACGTGTTTCTTTTCTTCTCTTTTCAGCAGGGAATAAACCTTTACTTGTTCCTTTGCACTAATGTTGAACACCTTGTACTAAATGCGCACCACTGAGTACATAGTTTCAGAATAAACAGTGAAACACAAATCTGTGGATACAAGAGGAAACAACATGGAAATGTATTTAAAACAAAGAACGGGAGGCACTTATTTACACAAAGGGCTGTCTAGCTATATTGTTGAAGCTCTGGTTCCCTTTAAGAAATGGCTGCAAGAGATCCTGCAATCAATTAGCTATTCACTGCTCTTGCTGTTTGTACATCACTCTTAAGCATTAAACACAGCACTGAGCACAAGCACAAGACTGTGATAAGGAGCCCACCAAGGCCTTTCTCACTGTTGTCTGACCTTAATATCCGAATTCACACCAGGTGCACTATCAGCTCTTATTACTAAACATCCATCCATGTTCTAACCTCTTTCAGTAGTTCAGGGGCGCAGGGAGCTGGAGTCTATCACAGCAGGAGGCAGGATAGACCCTGGACAGGACACCAGTCCATCACAGTGCAGATACTCACACAGACACTCACAAAGTCACACCAGGGCCAGTTTTCACAAAGGCCACTTAACCTTCTGGTATATCTTTGGACTCTTGGAGGGAACCGGAGCACCCAGAGGAAACCCACACATACATAATGAGAACATGCAAACTCCACACAGACAGCACCCCAGGAATTGAACCCAGGGCCCCAGCGCTGAGAGGCGGGAATGCTGACCTCTGCACCATCGTGCCATCCTGCTGCTATTCAAACAGAATTCAATTAAAGTAACACTAATTTCATCCCATGGCTGTTCTTGAGGCTACTCAAAAAATCCCCATCCACGCTTCTCCATGAGTCCCGGCCTGTGTGCACCGCTGTCCCTTGTGGGGGTCTGCACTGTCCCTGACTATTCAGGAAGAGAGGAGCCAAGAGCAGGACTGGGATTCTGATCACAGCCAGCTGGGTCTCTGCAAGATGCCTGTGATCTCCAGCTTGCCCAGTCCCTTCTGAAAGTGCTCCTGAGACTCAGGGCTGGAGACCACAGAGTTCCTGCACACCAGAGCCTCACTCCTGCTGCCCCAGGTGAACAGACCCCGCAGCTCCCTGCCTGCACTCCAGGAGCACTCTCCTGGTTCCCTGCTGGAAGGACCCGGCCCGGGCTCTCGTGCCCCGCCCCTCCAGCACCAGAGAAGCTCCCTGTGGCTCCGCACGCTCTGTTGGTCCCCTGACCCTGGCCCTGACTTTCCTGTTGCTGTCAAGGCTGGAGTAGTTTAACAGTACTAAAGTGCTTGGCACTATATTAATGTATTTCTGAATTACACAAGGCATACATTTCACTTACTTATACAGCTCAGCTTCACAATATATGTATCTTGAAGCTCTATATTAAAAATAGATGAGTGCTATAACAATCTATTAAAAATTGATTTCCTTTCTGCATGACTTAGCACAGTTTCACTGTGCATTATATCACTTTGCTTTGCTTGGGCTCAGCCACCGGGCTGAAAAATCACTGAAGTATCCCAGCGGTCCCTGGTGCACACTCTGAAACCAAGGACTCCCCCCAGCAGCTCAAAGCGGGCACCCCCTGCTGGGCAAGTAGAAGTCTAACATCCTGCCTGGTGCCCTCCGCCTGCTGCCCCGGCACACTCTCACTCACGTGACACACGCCCCGTGCCCTCAGCGACCTGGGCGAGAGCAGCCCGGCTGTGGGAGACAGGGCGCCTCTCCGTGGAGACAGCCGGACCAGCAGCTCAGCTCAGGGGCACATCTGACCTGTGGAGAGTCAGGCTGTGGCTCTGGTCAGCCCGATTCCCTCTTCCCAAACCTCCCCGGATCCGACTGTCTTAACTAACCTCAGAACAGGCCTAGTTCTGGGCCGGACTCGCGGCCCAGTCAGCGGTGAAGAACTGGGGTGGTGCAGACGAGTGGTCTGCAAACAGGGGGCTGGGCTAACACCACTCCCCCATGAGCCCTGCCACCTTATCAGGGGTGTAAATCCCGGGAGAAGCCATCAGTCCTCACCTGCATACCTCTGGGAGGCAACACCCACACCAGCACAGGAAGAACAGGCAGACTCACCACGGACAGCTGCCCAGGACCCAGGGGCTGTGGGGCAGACGATGCACACCACCCAGACCGATGGTGTAGTCTTTGGGAAACCATAACAGCTCCCAAACAACCAAACATGTACACTGTAGCAAATGGCCAGTTCTCATTTGGTTGTGTGAGGACCAGTTTCTGAATGCAGGTATTGCGAGAGAGAAGGTCCTTGATTCAGCTTCACACCCGGGCTGCAGTGGCAGGACTGTGGCCTCTGCAGCCCAGTCAGCTCTCCGGCTATCCTCACACCTGGAGTCCAGTTGGTCTCGGGTGCTGGAGGAGGGATTGAACAGTCTACCAGATCATCCAGGAGCTGGAAATTGGCCCGTGTTTTTGCAAGTGAGTGCTGAATCTTCAAGGTTTTGGAGGCATAAGGTGTCTCCACACTCATCTGAGGAGGATCTGTTCCTGACACCAAGGAGGTCAAACTGCATATTCATACAGGCTTCTGGAGATGAGCAGCGAGCAGATTGCCTTTGGCTTCAAGTTGCTCTGCAGTGATTCCCAACAGGAGCTCCAGGTCATTATTCTACAGGTCAGGTCCTGCACACTATTCAGCAGCACTGGCGCAGCACAAAAGGCAGCAGCTCCCCCTACTGGCCCCTACACCACACTGCAGCAATTCGGAAAAACAGGAGGTACAGAGATAGAACCTGAGGCTGAAGGACTGGTGCAGAGAAGAGGGGTTTAGATTTTGGGGCACTGGGGTCTTTCTGGAACAGTGGGACTGTTCAGGCATGACAGGGGGCGCCTGAACCAAGGGGCGCAGCTGTACTGGGGGAGTTAGTGTGGAGTAGTTCAGGAGTATTTCAGCTGGGGAGCTATGGGCAAGCAGCTCACAACAGGGCAATTCTGGTGGATCAGGAAAGCCCAGGGCAACACTGAGTACAGACCTCAAACAAGCAACACTCCCATTCAAAAGTGCTCATACCTCAGGGCTACAAGCATAAGGAACAAAGTGCAAGAACTTAAGGCCACTGTATTCATGTACAGTATAAATGCAACATGTAAAAAACATATTTAGAGGAGTTTTCCTCCATCTCAGGAATTGTTCAGATAGTATGGGATTTCTTTAACTAAGCATTCCATCCAGTACAGGGTCATGGGAGGGCTGGAGCCCTCACACACTCAGACATACTCACACACTCACACACTCACACACACTCAGACAGACACACTCACACACTCACACACTCACACACACTCACACACTCAGACACTCACACACATACACTCAGACACACTCACACACACACTCAGACACACTCACACACTCACACACTCAGACACTCACACACACTCACACACTCACACACACTCAGACAGACACACTCACACACTCACACACTCAGACACACACACTCACACACTCAGACAGACACACTCACACACTCACACACTCACACACTCAGACACACTCACACACACTCAGACAGACACACTCACACCTTCACACACTCACACACTCAGACACACACACTCACACACTCAGACAGACACACTCACACACTCACACACTCACACACACTCACACACTTACACACACACACATACACTCAGACACACTCACACACTCACACACTCACACACACTCACACACTCACACACTCAGACACACTCACACACTCACACACACTCAGACAGACACACTCAGACAGACACACTCACACCCTCACACACTCACACACTCA